CATTATAATTGTTATAGTTGTTGTTTTTTCTATTTATTATTACTGTTGTCTTCACATTGCACAGTTTAGTGCCCCCTCTACAAGGAATTAACTGAAGGATTTTGAGCTGTACTTAGGGTGATCCCTTTGACATAACTGAACCCAACTCGTTTCGTGATGTCATCTGGAAGTTCGATATCTGTTCTCAGAATACTGAATTTATGTTTGTTTGATTTTAAGGCATAGGTGAAAATGTAACGTGTAATTAACTGATGGAGTCCACTCTGTTGCAAGTAATGGAAATGTACTGCAGGTACCATGTGTTATACAGCATTACATAGTTATTATTACCGAAAGTTAATTTTATGCCCAGCTCATAACCGTAAATGACGGAAATCTTGCGCCGCTGCACCAGATAATACATATATGTTGTGTACACGCACATGTATGTCATCATTTCTATATATATATATATATATATATATAATATTGCATATATGCATACATACACTAATGATTATTATTTTTTTCCGAACATATAGAAATATTTGGTGGTAAATGCTCCTTCCAGAACTGACCTCTATGATCGGAAATATCTATTAATAATCATGTATTTCACTTTAGTATATAACACTGTATCTCAGAATACAACTTTGCAGAAAGGTAAGATCAAAAACAAGTTCTTCGATGATTTTAAGCTTTAAAAAAAGAACATACCAACACTCTTTTACGTGAGCAAATCATGATGAAACTATCATATCCTCAGATTATCCTTTTTAACTGAACCAGAAACATATATGTGTATTCTTTTTTACAATTTTTTACTCCATTTAGAAATTAGATACACTTATGTAGATTTATCGATCTGGTGACGTTTGGTTTGTAAGTCCTACCTTTAGTTTTGCCATAAATGATATCAGAAACCCGACAAAGTCCGTATTATATTTATATAGTATATATATTATATATATATATATATATATAATATATATAATATATAATATATATATATATATTATATATATATATGTTTGTGTGTTGTGTGTGTGTGTATGTATCCTATAGTATATATATATATATATATATATATATATATATATTATATATTTATATATATATATAATATATATATATGTGTGTATTGTGTGGTGTGGTATGTTATGTATATATATATATATATATAATATATATATATTTATATATATATGTGTGGTGTGTGTGATTGTTGTGTGTTAGAATGTTGTATATTTATAGTGTGATAGGTGGTGTGTTGTGGGTGTGTGTGTGTTGTGTGGTGTGTGGTTGTGTATGTGTTGTGTGTTGTGTGTGTGTATGTTATATATATATAATGTAGTATATATAATAATATAATATATATATATATTATATTAATATATATAATACTATTATATATCTATATATATTATATATATAATGTGTGTGTGTCGTGTGTGTTTATATATATATATAATATTAATTAATAAATAATATATATATAATTAATTAATATATATTATATATATATATATATATATACTATATTATAATATTATTATGTGTGTGTGTGTGCTGTGTCGTGGTGTGTGTATATATATATATTATGTGTGTGAGGTGTGTGTGTAGTGTGTGTTGTATTATATATATATAATAGTATATATAATGGTGTGTGTGTGTGTGATGTGTGTGTGTGGTGTTTATGTGAGTGTGTGGTGTGATAGTGGTGTGTATATGTATTATGTATGTGGTTAAATGTATTGTATTATATAATCATAAACATCTCTATAATATATTAATATATAATTGTGAGTTGTGTAGTATGTCATGTATGCTAATTAATGTATGTACTGTATTATAAATATATATATATATATATATATATATTATTATTATATATATATATATATATATATATATATATATATAAATATATATAATAATATATATATATATATATATATATATTAATATATATATTACATAATATTATATATATATATATATATATATATAATATATATATATTATATATATATAATATACATAATACATATATTATATGTATATATATATTATATATATATATAATATATATAATATAATATATATATTATTATATATATATATATTATTAACATATATATAATTATATATATATATATATATATATATATATTAATATATAAGTTAATAAGTTGTATATATTATTATTATATATGGGTATTGTGTGTGTTGTGCGCATGCCACTGTCGCACTATTGCAGTATAGTTTCCAGATATAAGGTAATGTTAGAGGTATTGAGTCTTATCAGTGCTGATGATAGAGAGATGTGTGTTGTGATGATGGATGTGACATGTTTCGACATTTCTATATCAGTCAGAACTGTGGTCGTGCCATAGTGTGTGTGTGTGTCGAGTGATAGCTGTGTTTGAGCGAGTGATGTGTGTCTCGTAGTCTACGTCTGATAAGAGTGTGTGGAGCAGCTATTAGTGCGCGTTTGGGTCCATTGTCCGTAGTGACGTGTGCTCGTTGAGTCCGTTTTGATGTTTTTATTGTGCACGCTACAGTGTGTCGTGGCGTGTGGTGTAGTAGTACTGATGTAGAGCGCTCGTTTTAGATTGTCCGGTGTGTCTTTGCAGCATCTCGCGTGCTGTAGTATTAGGAACATATTGCGTAGGACGCTCGTGCGTTGATGTGGGTTGTTGTGCCCATATGTGCGATGTATAGATATGTGTAGCGTTATTGAGATGATAGTGAGCAATTTTGTCATCTATCTTTCCTGTCTTTTCTGGAATAAGCGTGGTTAATACTTATTTTCGTTGAGAAGGCGAATTATCGTAAATAATGAAATAAATGTTAGAGGTTGTAGAATTGATTGTAAATGAAGCAATCTGTAATAATAGATTATGTTTACTCGAACATTTAATCTATTCATTTACGGTTTAGTTGTATAGATATTTAGTCGTCTGAGAAAGAAGAGTCGATAATTAAATTAAGATATTATGCGTCTCTTGACTCTCAATTTTCTTGACTAAGTGTTCCTGAGAATAGAGACTGTTAGAAAGCTGAAAACAATACGGACGAAAAGCACGATAGGGCCTCAGGGGAGTTGAGTGAAAGGCGGTGATTTAATAC